ACCCATGTTTAGTTGATCATACTCGTATTTTTCTTGTTCTCATATCTGTTTTTTGTTTTTATTATTATTATGACTGAGGTTTTACTGAAATTACTAATCGTTTGATAAAAGCAGCATCCATATATTATATATATCTTGGACAAGTTATCTAATACTCATTGTCTCGGTGCCTTTGGACCCAGATGCAATGGGACAACCCGATTTCATTGGCATTTGGACTGGAGACATGAAAGTTAAGTTTAAAAAAAAAGAAGAAAAATTGCATCACACTCAATTTTCTATTTTGTTAGTTCTCATCTCTATCAAAAAATAGAATCATTTACTAATTCGACTCCTTATATTCCTTTTCTCATGTTTTAAGTCCGTTTGACATCGTTAGTATAATAAATATAACTATGGACCAGAAAAGGTATCTGACACGCAAGAAGTAAAAGTAAAGTCATTTGTAATAATATTTTGAGAATAAAATTCTGTGCTTCATCTTGACGATGTTAAAGATTAACTGTACTAAGTATTCAAAATGATGTTTAGAAAACATACGAAGACAACTATCTACTAACAAAGTGAAGAAAGAAAAAAAAGAATTTCTTACCGGTATAGGGTGCTGACAAGTGTCAATTGCAATAGCTCGATATCTTTTCTAAGAATAATGATACTTTCATTTGTCTCCCTCTTTGATTGTGAATAAAAGGTCAGACAAATGAAAGTGTGAAATATTGACATTTTCATCAATAAAAATATTTCAAATTTTTATTATTACCAACAGGTAGATATTTTCAATCAATCAATATAGGATGATGAATCGTTTATGATTTTAAAAAAAGAAAAAAATTGAAGAGATTTTTTTTTCTTATTTATTTATATTCTTTAAATAACAGTTAGTTACAAGGAGAAGAGAATTTATATTTTTATTTTTCGAGAAAAACATTATCGAACCAATTGTCAACTGCCAGACAGGTAGAAATATTTATTTTTATGTTCATATATCTACACGATGAATAAATGAGAAGAGAGAAAGTTCAGATATTTATATTCACACGAAATGTTCTCAGTACAATAGTGTTATAGTCATATATAAAGTAGTTTGATAGTATAGTCATTAAATTAATTTTATTCCTTTTGTGTATGTGTGTGAACGAGCTAGACTTACGTATATAAGTACATTATACGATATAAAAAGTGACTGACTTACAAACAGCATTATTTTATGTAGGAATTTTTAGTCAATACATCTTTTATCTATAAATCACTGAATGTATTATATATTTTATTGTAATATAGTGTATATTTGAACGAGTTACCAATCACACAAATCATAGTTCTAATTTATAACAAAGTATGTAATTGATAACGTTGTAAAATTAGAAAACATTCTAAGATATTAAATAACGAAATATTGGTGTATATGTGATCCATCGGAATCACTAATATTTAAATAATTCAACATGACGATTCAAGAATTAAACAAAAGATTAAAACAATGAAAAAAATATCTTTAATTTAATATTTCAGGAAGTCTACTCACCTCCTATCAGGATCTATTTAATGCAAACAACTTGTTCGAATTGTATACAATATTCTTTCTTTTTTTTTTAAACTACATAGATTTTGATCTTATAAACAGTATACTACTTTCAAAAAACCAGTAGAGTTACACATATGGTCTCTTTCTGTATTTCATCTCTTTTCTTTTTTCAAGTATTATATAATTTATCTCCAACCAACTGGTTCCATATTCAAGAGAGAAGGACATTATTTTCACAATAGGAAATTTTCATAAAGTGACTATCACAATAAAAACATTTGACACATATGAATATGACAGGTATTACTATATATTTATATTATATATATTTATATATATATATATATTTGTATACACATAAGTTTTTTTATGTAAAGAAAAAAATAACAGTTGTTCGATAATATGTAGGTATACGGAAATGAGCTCAAAATTGAATGTATTATCTGGGTGGACATCTCAAAGTTTATATGTTTATCATCTCGTGAATATCGTGATGAATATCATCGTTAAATATAATTCAAAGGAAATATACTCTTTATAATTAGAAGACTTTGACATTGAATACAAAAGAACTATAAGATTACATCTATCCATGAGATGAAAATTAAAAGCAAATAACAGATAATTAATACAGTTAAACATTCAACTTGAAGACAATAACTATGACGATATTACCAATCAGAAATTTTACTTTAATTTTCGATCACATAGTTCTCAATGTAAAATAAACAATCATCCACAGTATTTCTTCATATTCTCATAAAAAATTCAAGTAAATATGATCAAGAGTAAAATTTTAGATCAATAAATCTTACACTCATAATGTTGGTTATCTCGAATCATCGTGTTGTTTTAGGCCTTTGTTTGCGTATAAGTATGAATATTTTCATAATCAGAGTAATTCCACTGTGAGTCTTGAAATTTCTATTTTTAAGATCTTCAGGAAGATTCACTATGGTAATTTTTTTACGTTTCACAATCTTACCGTTACGTTACTATTTTTTACACAAGTGTTTCTATATTTTATACAAATGAATATTTTCACATGTCTTATACGATTCTCATTCTGTGAACGTACCTTACATATTTCTGTGTTATATAATAATATGAGGATGAGTAGAGATATGCAATATTTTAGTCTGCTTTTTCGATGAAGCTTAATTTCAAAAAGATAAAGGTCATTTCTGTACATATGCGTATACAAATTGTTTATTTGTATAAAAAACATGTATCTGCTCCATATGAGTGTTTTATTCTGACCTTCTATTACGTACATTTTAAACATGCAGCACATGTTTAAAATACCAAAGTTAGATGAATCTTATAATGAATTCATTTTAAATGGAGAGAAAGAATATTTATTTCTTTGAATATATGTCGCGTCCAATCTCAAATTAAACTTTGTCTGTTGTACTGTCTGAGCTTAAACTAGTGTTTAATTTTCAATCAGTCTTAGTTTGGCAAGATTTTTTTCTAGTCTTTCCCTTATTTAATATATAAAGGACTGAAATTTGAGTGATGCTTATTTTAACTGAATGAAAAACTGAAATTTTTATAATTCAGTAAAAACATATTCGTTAGTTCTAATAAACTTGTGCCCATATGTGTCCACAATCTGATGCTATAAAAATATGATCAGATGCAAAAATCAAGTTCCTATCTGGACTATAAAAAATATTTTACTAAACAAAGATTTGTGTTTAGAATAATTCAAACTACGAAGATAGAATAGATTCAGTTAAATTCAAGTTTGAGCACTGATATAGATTATAGCAGAATTAACAATAAATTTCTCTTCTTTGAGAGAATATTAGATTGATCTACGATATTAAAAATGAATATTTTGATCGAAGCGTTCCACATTATACCCTTTCCATCCATAAATGTTAGAGAGAAAAAAAATTGAATATTTTGTTTTTTAGCAAAAAAAAAAAAAAAATAGTGATTTCTACATCGACATTATTGTACGTTGAGAAAAGAAAATGTTAAGAAATTTTGAAGTTAAAATACATATAATACATGGCAGTGAAATATTTGAACTAGAAGACAAACATATATATACAATGAAAAGAAAAAGTTTATTGTAGGAAAAAAGAAAAGAAAAAAATTTACTATTCGATGCTCTGTGTGTGTGAATATGTGTCGTGTTCTTAATTTTTGAAAGTTTTGTATTACATATTGTTAAACGAAACAAGTTTATAAACTATAATATTGTGAACTCTATATAAAAATAGAAGTGGGTAATTTTTTTCTTCATCACAGACTTTTTCCCTGTTCTATTTGCAAGACAAAAAGATTCCATGACCATCTTTGTTACAGAAAAAAAGTAGACACATTCAAAAGAGAGCTAATACACAGCTGTTAGAGAATGTTTTTTTAATATTATCTTTTATATCAATTAGTTATACATTAACGGTTTTGTTACACGAGTTGTCCGTATTCTAAATCTTTTCAATTTAAAAATTCAATTATTCTTATAACTTTGTCAAATAAAACTTTCAACATCTTTTAATTATCTAAACGAATTTTCATTGCTTCTGTTTTACTATATCAGAACAACATCGATTCAAATTGTTGAATGATTATTCTAGTATTAGATCTTCTTTACAATTCATTAGATATAAATAGTATGGTCTGATTTTGTCAGCTTTTAGCAAAATTAAAATAAGTCAATATCGAAGACAAAACAGACATCTTTTGTTATAACCATTTATAAAATGAATAGATTTCAACAACTACTGGCATTGGCCTTTTTTTTTTTTTATTCACTGTTAAACAATATAGCATTAGAAAGACAACTTTACGCCAAATAAAAAAAACTTTTGGATGAAAAAATAACTAAGAAAAAAGATTTATTTATTTCCATGTATTTGACAAAATATGAATGAAAACGCTTGAAAGAATATCTTAAATACAAATTTCATTTAAGAATTTTGCTTATTTTACTAGAGTCACATAATTCATAAAATACATTAAAATTTTTTGTTTTATCCACAAGCAAATTATTAAAGAATAAAAGAGTTTTAAGGTATTTTGCCAATTGTATAACTGAAAAATAATACTAAAAGTGAATCAAATGTAGTGAGAGAATCCATCCTGAGAATAAATGTATTAAATATTTGGTTGAAACTTGATTTCACATGTGTACCTGTTATATTGCAATGAATTATTTCTCGTTCAAAATAATGATGACAAGGGCATCCTATAATGTGATTATTGCCGTTTACTCATGATTATTCTGAATCTACTAGATATTCATTCTATGACACAAATCACTGTTCATGAGAAATAGAATATTCTACATTAAAAATCAAAACCTAAAATAAGATCTTATATTTTCTAATTTATTATTGATTTGAGTAAAAAAAAAAAACATTTGTCAAGAAAAAGGATATACGTAAAAAAATAGTTGGAAAAATTTTTGTTCGTTAAACACGAAAGAAACATAGAAGAAAAGCGAAAATTTGACTGATTTTTAAGACACAATTGTTTGTCGAAATTTATCTATGTCATATTCATCACTATAGAGATTTTCATCCCAAAGATCAGACATTGTTTCTAATATCGCTTTAATTGATTGTTTTTTATTCTTTCCAGATGATTGTTGTCCATTTTTATCCTTTTCCCATGTTACTTTACCTTTGTCAAATGAAATTAGATCGAGTAGATTATCTGTTTCTAAACTATCAGCACTTAACACAGTATCAGCTAAATTTGTTTTAAATCGTTGTAAACTAGAAAATAATAAAAAAGTCAGTATAAAAATAGAAAGAAAAAAAGAAAACATACTTCATAATTTTTTCTTCAATTGTTCCACGAGTTATTAAACGATACACACTGACAACTTTTTTTTGACCAATTCGATGAGCACGATCCATTGCTTGAGCATCTTTCGACGGATTCCAGTCGTGTTCTAGAAAAATGACAGTATCTGCTGCAGTTAAATTCAATCCTAAACCACCAATATGTGTCGTTAATAACAGAATATCAATACTTGGATCAGAATTAAATCTAAAACAAAACATGTGTTACATTCATAAATGATATAGAAGATTATTGCACACACTTTTGTACAGTATTAAACCGTTCGCAAGCAGACATAGATCCATCTAATCGTAAATAAGTCACACCACCATCCATTACCCTGTGAACAGACAAGAATACGATGTAGACAGAACTGGAAAAAAAAGTAGATAGAATAACTGTACATACGATAATACTTGATTAATGACAATATCAATCATTGCTTTCAATTGACAAAATATTAAAGCTCGATGTTGAGCTACAATATCGTTACAGCCAATGCCACAGAAGTTGAGAAGATCCCTGGGATAAAATGGAGATTAAAATTATTTTCTTTTGCAAAAGATATTTTTAATATTGTGAAAGGAGGCAAGTCAGATCTTCATCCTTCATACTTTAGACATGGTATCGAATTGACTGATAGTCGTAGAACTAGTATCTGTTGACTTTCAGAAACCTTAAAGACAACAGGATCATAAGTGATCGAGCACGCTGATTAATCGACACTCAAGTGATCCCGTCTACTGCCGTACATATATATTCTCCGACAATTTTGCGCTTCTTTGAACTCATTCACTTGCTTCAGCTAAAATTATAGTTAATCCAAATGCCTTTGTATATCACAGACTTTTACTTATAATAGACTTGAAAATTTCAGAAGTAGTCATAGAAGTACCTTGTAGTTATGGAAAATACGAAAAAAGACGAGAAATCCAATTAGTTACAAACGGTTTTTTCAGAGACTTGATCAATAATCTAGCATATGAAAATGATTTTTTCACATTTTTTGTAGTGTCATGATGTAGAGCAACACTCTTAGTTATATCCTGAAAGTATACTGCGTTAGATTTGACTAGATTATTTTACTCTATTCGAAAAACAACCATTATCACAAGACTTAGTGCACCCGATCATCGTTGAACCATGAACAAATTTTTCAAAGATCCTTTTGAAACTCTATTTTAAACATACTTCAGTGCCAGTAACTTTCCCGATAATCGAATATCTTCTAATTTTAAATGATTCTCTTTTAATTGTGTTTGTACTGTTGTCCATTTTGGATGATCTGGATTTAATATTAAACATGGATGATTGCACAATTTGCGAAGATATTGTAATGCCTACAAAATATAAAATAATAAATTTTTAAATTTTTAATCCTACTATATTATTTACTTTAAAAATATGACATTTTGAATTGTCTTTAGTTAAATCCATCTCTTCAATATTTTCTGTTTGTTTTGATGATGCTGTAAAATCTTCGTAAAGTGATAATTGTATTGAACTTAATTCACAATAATAATCTTGAATTATTTTCGGTGGTAGATCATTTAAAACATCACTTTTCATTCGACGTAACATAAATGGTTTTACTTGTTTATGTAAGAGTTCCATAGCTAAATGTCCAATTTCTGATTCTTTTTGACTTTTCATATCACGACTTTGAACAATTGGTTTTAAATAACGAGAACAAAATTGTTTTTCAGCACCCAAATAGCCAGGCATTAAAAATTCCATTAATATAAATAAATCTTTGGCATTATTTTGAATGGGCGTTCCCGTCAATATTAAACGATGTGCAGCCGAAATTTGTCTAATAGCTTTTGATAATTTTGTTTTTGTATTTTTAATAACATGACCTTCATCAAGAACACAATAATTAAAATTAATATCGGTAAAAAACGTTATATCACTTCGAACAGTTTCATATGATGAGACAACAACTGTATATTGACTACTATCTTTATGATATTTCTCACAAAGTGATTCTCTCTCAGCAATTGTTCCACAATAGTGTAATGGATTTAATAGATCTTTAGATACAAATTTTTCCATTTCACTTGTCCAATGACGTGTAAGTGTGTGTGGACAAACAATTAATGACGGTAATACTTGAATATTTTGATTTCGTCGTTCTGCAATATCTGATGCTATGACACAAATTGTCATTAATGTTTTTCCAAGACCCATATCATCACATAAAACGCCATTCAAATTATAACGTTTCAAAAACATAAGCCAATTAACACCATCCTGTTGATATGGTCGTAAATCAGCTTGAATTTTTATTGGTAACTGGAATGATTTGACTTTAGAACTATCAAGTAATTGTTCAAGAAAATCCAGGCTTTCATCATTAGATTTTAAATTAACACGATTAACATTGGATGAATTTAGAGGATAATATTTGATTAATGTTGCAAAACAATTACTTGCCACTGTTCGAACATACCAGTCTTGATGTGTCATACATTGAATACAAGGTATTAATAAATGATGAGTATAAGGTACAATATTCATAGCTTGTTTATCAATTACATCTAGATAAAATAAAAAGATAAATTTCATAAAAAGTATCAACAGATAAATTAACACATAACGTATACGTACGATATAACGCCTCGAGGACACCTTGCAGTTCGATTTCATTATTTCCAACTATTTTTAATCTTGGTAAAATTGAACTAACAACAAATTCAATAACTACACTTGTATCAAATAAAGAAAGTAAACCAATACATCGAGCAGCAGAATAGCGGACAATTGTATATTTTGATGATAAACAAAAATTTAGTTTTGGTAACAATGATAGAAACTAGAAAAAAACCCAAAACTCTCTCATTAAGTATAAAGATCCATGTTATGGATAGAACAGGGGCAAAATTAGAAGTTTGACATTTCATTTACAATTGAGCACAAATAAGAGTGAAGTCAATTTTTCTCTTTAACATGTTTTGAAATGAAAAAAATACGGTGATAATAACATTTTTCTCCAAAATATAACGCTAGAAAGAAGAGACTATTCAAAATGAAAATATTTTACTTACATCATTTAATATCACCCTAGAAACGTGAGGAACAATAGTGACAAATATTTGTAATGTATCAACTACATCTTGAGCATCTTTAATCGATTGAGATTGTAAACAGGCTAAATAAATAGACAATGCGTGTACAATCAATATCATATAGAATATTAGCTATCAACTAACCTTCATCAATGTTATTAATACAAACAACAGCTTTATCATAAAGTTCAGGTAATTTAATTTTCAATTCATCACCGAACCTTTTGCATATTGAACTTAAAGCTAATTCTGCTCCATCACGTCGTGTATTAGATGCCAATGTATTTTCAAATGTCTAAGCAAAGGCAAAAAAAACAATTGTTTCACTATGATAATAGACTAGAGAAAAAAAACTGCAAATTCTTACAAAACGGTTTGAATTTGATGACAATGTTGTGGATGGTGTTGATTCATTTGAATTTTGTCTGCATAGTGATGCGGCAGACTGACATATGTCCTAAAAAAAGTCATTTTTGACATAATTGAGTATAATTGATTAAATTCATTATAAATACGAACATCGTTTGTTCTCATGTATGTATATATTCCTTTGTATTGAGTACAAACATAATCTTCATTAATTTCAGTACGTGTATCTGACTCTAGTATACACAAAAAAGAATGTTTTATGCTAGTTATTGTATGAATGAATATTCACACTATCTACCTTGTAAAGCATTCACACAAGGCACTTCATCGGAATCTGTAGTAATATAAATACAAATATTTTTAATTATTTTAGAATTTGGACTAGGTTGACGAGTTGAACATTGCATTATCAATTCAGCTATTGATTGAGCGACATCAGTCTAATGTGAGAAAATAGTATGTATAAATTTTATGTTATAAATAATTTTAGTCTAACTATTTACCTGAATGTTTATATCAGCTTCCTTTTTTAAAGAATCCATAAGTGGTCGAATAATTGGATTCAATTGTTCCGTTAATAAACGTGAAAAAACACAAGCACAAGCCAAATAAGCAGCTGATCTAAATAAACATAAAAGTAAAAATTTTCTTAACTGTACGATTATTGCTGTTTTTAAAATTACCTCAATGTAAGTAATTCGGATTCATTTTGTATTCGTTTGGCCTCGTCAAGTATATTTTGTCTTTGACCATTCAAATTTGAATCATGTTCGATTGCTGGATTTATTTTATTACATAACTCGATTATTTGATCGACGGAATGTAAACTAGAAAAATATCTTTTTCTATAGTCAAAATCAAAGTTTTATCGGTGATAAAAAATAAAAAACACTATAAAAATAGAAAATTTTTAGATGAGTTAAATGTATGAGCCGGAACGAAGAACATATTCTTATACTCTTGAATAATGTCTCAGATTATGTGCTCAACCTATACTATTCGAGTTCACATTAAAATCCAAACGTTTATTTGAACAAACGCTCAGAGGAACGTGTCTCGATTAAACTTGAAACAGATGAGAAGAGAGAACATACTTTACTCCTGATAATAAATTTTCTTTTTCATAAAATTTTCGTTTAATACATTGTTCTATAAATAAGCTGAAATCTCGTTTTAATTTTGTAAACGATGGAGCAATTTCATCGAAATAAACGATTTCTATTAAAGCAGTTGATAAACGTTCTTTTAAAAGATCTGGTAGATCATCCTAAATAAAAATGTAAAAGAAACTATAATCATCTTAAGACAAAAAGAACGAACAAATTTTTTATCCTTACAACTAATTTTGTCCATTGTAACAGAATCATACCAAATCCAATACGTTGTACAGCACTACGATAATTTAGATTTTGTGTTAAATATAAAACGACTTGACTTTTTATTGCAATTGTCTCCTCCTGTTTTTGATAAATGGAAAATAATTTAGCTAATAGACGTGCACAAATTATTCGACATTTTATAACAGCACGATCATGTTGTACATAATTTTCATATTGATGACATATTCCAGAAATATAGTACTGACGTGTACAATCATTATAATCATTTAAAAATTCATTATTCTAAACAGATAAAAATATTCTCAAATTTGTATACATTCAAAAAGTGAAACATACAAAAGTGTTTGCCGATTCATCAATCAAAAGACTTGAATTAATAGATATTTTGGATGGATGTACAAGAAGGCAAATCCAAATTGGAAAACATGTAAATGTACACCGTTGTAACGTAACTGATGGTAATGATTGACATAGTGTATGCCATGCCTAATAGATAGATAAAAAATATTATTATAAATAAACAAACTGAAGAAGCCGTATTTTATCAATATTACTTGTTCAATTGTATTTAGAATATCATCATCGGACTCTAATACACAACGTTGATATAAACAACGAAAAGTATTTTCAATTACTGATACTTGTGCTAATGGATCGTCTTCTATCAACTGTAATTCATCCTAATAAAATGAATAAAATGTCAAATATGTTGGTGACTATCAATTTCAAGTAATTTTATCAGTTACGTACATAACTTGCTTCTAAAATTTTTAACATCGTCTGTATTGCTGCTAAACGAAATGCGCTGTTATGATGACGAACAAATGGAAATAATTTTGGAAATACACTGTACAATGGGAGTTTAAGTCTATGAAATACAAAAATATATCAATAAATATCAAACACATCCTATTTCTTTTGCATTACTTTTGAGGTATTTTCAATACAAGTAACTTGGAAAGCAATCTCATAATATTACTGGCAGCTGCATTTAAATCATCCATTCCGTCTAAGAGTACTATCAAATCTGTTATTAATACTGTAGCACATTCCATAATGTTCTACAATGAAAAAAGAAAATTTGCACATAGAACTCAAATCTGTTCACAAAATAAACTCACTTTTTCATAGTTTGTGATTAACGGGATGAGTGCTGAGCCCGCCTCTGCAACAACATCGTCAAATTGATCGTGGAGACATTCTCGTGTTACATTTATAATTTGATTAAGTAATGCCGCTGGTATAGTCTAAATAAATGAAGAGTCAAATTAAAACATCCAAGAAAAGAGTTTTTCTTCATTCTTCATACCTGTGAAAGTGTTAATATATATTTTAAACATATCAAAGATCCATGACGTACTTCCCAATTCTTTTTGTCTTGTGTCATGCATATTAATGTCGACAACACTAAATTCACTCGTCGTTTATCTAATCGACTGCAAACTACACTTAAAGATTGTGCACATGTTTCACGAACAGGTGCAACGACCTATAAAGACATAAGATATCTCACTAGAGTTGCTCGCATATAATCTTGAAAAATGTGAACAGTATATATTCAGAAGCAGAAGAAATCATTGAAGCTCAAGTTAGATTTTGATGTCAAACTAAGAACATGTTGTACTAGAAAGGAATCTAACATAAAGCTTCTTTCGCAGAGATGAATCGATATTAAACTTTATAAATGTATAAGATAATAGAATATATTTGGTGACAGTGCAGGTTTAATTTGCTTTAGTACACTATATGATCTTAAATTCACGCATCTAGAGAAAGAAAAAAAAACAAAATAGAATCTTTTTATCCATCATTCATGATTAGTACGATGTTATAATTCAGTAATACTTCATATATCAACAAAACATCAATAGCCGTCAGTTCTTTTCTCTTAGATACAATGATACCTATATATTTGATGGCAGAACCGTTCAAGAATGGAAATATAGAAAGAGAGATAGGAAATCAGGGGAAAAATAAGAAAGGGTGAGAGAGAGAGAGAGAAGCAGAAAATTATTCTCTGTATATTTCTTTTCTGAAAATATATCACATAGATATGATTCTATGACGTCAGATATATTTTTTTGTTTATTGTTTGTTCTTAGTTTCCTCCTCAATACTATAAATGACAATTCTTTCGTCGTTTTCTATCAGCAGGGAAACTTATGCATGAACAACAACCAAATAATAGTGTGATGCAATAAAATTAACAAATTTGTTTAGTGAAATTGTGTCAGCAATGAATTTCACAATAACAAATTATTCAGCTATTGTTACCGTATTCGTTTTGGGGTTATACATAGCATTCGGTAAGCAAATATACAGTCTGATTTATTTTTCTCATCTTTTCAACAAAATCATAGACAAACAGCTATGAGGAATATTACAAAGCGAAGAGCGCATATTCGTCATAAGTCAGTTTCAGAGACGAAAGAGTTGAACTGCCAATATGAAATCAGTATATCAATAGAATAACTTGATATTTTTAGCACTTCCCATTATAACAACAAAAAATGCATTGAGTACACCAAATATCAGTATGAAAACAAACGTTCTTTTGACAAAATCGTCACCAATTCGTCCAAAGAGAAATCGACAACCGAAACATGTGTTACGTGTTAGAATAAGAGTTGATACAATTGATAATGCCTTAATTGAAACATTAATTAACCAAAAACAATTAGAAATAATTGAAAAACAACTGAAGTATCACCATATACCATTTCAACAGGTGAAAGATAATAAAGATGGAATCACCATCATTGTGGGACCCCTGCACAAGACAAATCAGCAACAAGGCATTCAATCGCAATTTCATGCAAATTTTAGTACAATTATACCACAAAAAATGTTGTTTCCACACAGTGAAAATGATCGAACATTTCAACATGGATTCCCGTTCCGTATAGAAGCACAAGAATATGATCTTGCAATTGATAAGGGTTAGTTAGCGTATAAGTCTCATTTAGCTTTTAAACATGGTCTGCTAATGTCCATTCTCCAGTCCATTTCAAAATAGAAGCCAGCCTAAGTTTTTAGGATGACGCTGGAACAAAAACAGATAAAAGTTTGTAGTTTTTCGCGGGAATTAGCGACGTCTAAAAACGTAATGGAGCTTATAAATAAATACTCACCTATATGGACTAATCAAATCTTATGAAGTTTTCAAAAAATCATAAACCACGTATTTCGAATGGAGATTAAGACATCCGGAAAATCGTAAATTTTTATTTTTGTTTTACCACAATCCAAAAAATCGAAGACTGGCTTTTGAAAGGAATAGTAGATTGGTCTCATACGTTCAATTTGAAAGACAATATTTCTTTTCATAAGGAAGAATATTTAAATAAGATAATAACTGAGTTCTATCATTTAACGGAAACTAATTGTTTTACTTTTTAGAATCGTATGAATTTCGAAATTGTTTGGAGAGCTGCGAATATGTCGATGGTAAAGAATTAAAACCAAATCACAACTGTATACGGAAAAAATGTTTGAAAGAAATAACTGGTATTTAGGCAAGCACAGTGATATATCCGTTTTTTTTTGTTTTTTCTCAATCACTAATTTCAAAAAAATCATAGTTCTATTTTTATTCTGTTAAGAGAAAGGTAGTTTGAGTTATGTCAAATAAATTGAATTAATTAAAACAACAGTATAATCAATTGTTACCTCATCTGAGACATAATCACCAAATCGATCTAACGCGATTAATGCAAGTAAACGAACGCAAAGATCATCGGCAAACTGCAAATAATATTCATTGACATCGTCCTTAATGATGAAAGATAAACAAGACCATATAAAAATAAGCACGGAGAAGAAAACTAGCATTTTACCTGTTCTTTTTTCGATGATGGATTTCCTTTCAATAGTTCTCGAAGAGCAGTTATAGCTCCATGACGATTTTCCCAATTCGGTTCAAAACTTTGTTCAAGTAGCCAATCATAAAATTCACTGAACGGCCAGGCGGTTTGCTATACAAAAATCGAAAATAAATATTTTTTTCATTAAAGAATGTTGATTGCTTAGTACCCCTTCTGCTAATGAAATGCTTGGTGATGGTGATGATTTCCTTCGTTTCGAGCATGTTGGTTCTGTATTTTGCTCACAATATATTGCACAATTTCCAAATAAAACTTCTTGTAATTCAGCCGATGATAACTGTACAAAAACATCAATAAAAAAGAACCAGTGATCACTATTGAAACAATACGTTCGAATTTCCAATAAAAGTATCCCTTAATTGCATTATTATGATATATCTTACAATAATAAGCAAGCCCTTTTACGTACACAGTTAACAGAGGAATTTTGATATGAATAATTTAAATTAAAATCTTCTTCTTGTACTAATGGATCAATTCCAGTTACACGTTCTTGAAGGCCAAAATTTAACTGTTTTTGAATAAATGTCTTCTGAACTGCCAAATTAACATCTTTAGAATAAAATAAAACAATATGATGGGATGGTTTCGAGCAAGATGCAAGTTTCTACCGTAATCGACAATATCATCGACTCTACGTGATCCTAAACATAATGATGAATTCTTCAATATTGTTTCGATATTGAACTTTTCTATTGTTAAATTGTGATTGCCACAGTTGCAATAAACTAAAAGTATTCGAAAGCCATCATAAAGAGGAAACAATAACTAAAAAATAGTCTTACAAATGTCATTAGATTGTGACAATATTTCTTTACTAATAACTTCTACAGCACTGGCTGCTGCTATTCGAACTTCCCATGAAGTGTGTACAACATAACTTTTGAGCTAAAAATATATTAAAATGGTAACGAATTTAAAGTTAGTAAATAGGAAAAGAAAGTCCCGTACTTTGTTTAGAATTGAATTAACTTCTTTTGGATAAGAATTAACAATTTGTCCGATTTGTATCGCAGCTGACTTTTTAACATTCAACGACTCGCCACTCTCTAACAACACTAATAATTTATCGAGCCTTCAAACAGTCAAGAGAAATTTCAGAGTTTTATGCAACGTCGGTATGAAACCACTACATTAAAAAAGCGGTTTCAGCAGGTCTGCTGTTCAAAAATATTGAATTTACCAACCTAGTGGTCATCAGAGATCAACTATTCAATCGAAATGAACCTCAAAACTTTTGTTATTTAATGTAGAGAAAAATATTGTTGAACACACAGACCTGTTCTCGCTGCAGCTCCTTTTTATAGACTGACAGAAAACTATGGTTTGCTGCTCTCTTTGTATTCCAAATATCGTTATATAATTGGTGTATGTTTCACTCAACACGAGAGAATTTTTTTGGTTAAGTCATCCAAACGTCGAGAGATGTCGGTGGATCACGTCCTATTATGTCGCTGGTTTTCTTGCTTCACTGTTCACTTTTCTGTTCTTGATTATCCTATTAGCTGAGTACGAAGTTTATGGATAAATACAGCGGTGGTGGAATGAATTTGAAGCTGAGGAACGGGAGAAAAAGTGCTGAGGTAGAAGTCTTATCTTATTCTGTATTACACATCATATTAGTTTTGTTTCTTTTCTGTACTACACTCACTATTTTCAAGAGCTATTTTTTTCTTTATTGTCATATTTGTATGGTGAGAGTTTATACGGCTTCATATCTATAAAATATGCATCTTGAATGGATTACTGCTGTGTTATTTTTGATAATGATTTTACGACGCACTTAGAACTACTAATATCTGTTCATAAATTAGCTGCACGAATTATTACTAATAATTATTATTCTAGTAGTTCTCCTCTTATTAAGAAACACAAACAAGCTGATCTAGAAATTGGGTCGTAAATATTTCAGATTACTATTTTTGATAAAATTACTACTGATCGTACTACTCTTTCATGTTTTTCTTTGGTAAAACCTTTAACTACTCGTACTTGGAACCGTTGCCTTTGGAAGGTACCAAAATTTAAAAGGAAGACTAAAAATTCATCGTTTCTATCAAAAACCACACTACAGTAGAATATGTTAACCAGAGAGATGACCGCTGCCTTCTCTGCACGAGTTTTCATACGCGTCCTGAATAAGTATTTATTTTAGAATAAATATTGTAAATTCTTAAGCCAGAATGCTTTATGTTCTTACTGTTCTATTGTTCAAAATCAATTACTTTTCTATCTTTTTTTTCTTTTTTTTTGTTTGTTTTTTCCTTATGGTGTGAGTAGTGAAAGTTTTCTTTAACTATTTATTACTTCCACTGTCATTATCAACACCGTAGACACAAAATAAATTGAACTTGAACTTGATTATCTTTAGTGATCAATAGAAAATGAAGTTAAAATATGATTTATTTTTTGATAGATTCATTTTCCTATATATAAGAGGATGTCACGACATTATAACTTTATAAATCTGTGAATGCTTCGACGGATTCACGCTTCCGTCGACTCTGGGTAAATAACAAGGAATAGTGCTATCGAGCTCGTTATGAGTAAATAGCACAAAAGGGGATCGTTTAGTTTCTACATGTAGTCCGATCAGGAAAATCAATTATTTCCTGCACTTTTGTTGCTTTAAAAACTCAATTATACTGATTGAATGAAAGCTTTAGAGAAATTTGGACATAAATAAAGATTTTCGAATCTCTTTTGTTGTTTTGACTCTTTCTACTATTACTGAAATATTCATACTGTAGAGTAGTTAATATTCCAGTGACGGTAATTGGACAGACGTGCGTATCATATGTCACAAAACGGCATGAAATGTAATAAATGTATTTCTTCTTCACGCCGGAGGATAATACGAACATACTCGAGTGAAACTTCTTGTTCTCAAGATCATGACTTCTTGAATTTTTTCAGTAAGATCTTCATCAAAGATTTTGGTAAGAAAACTTAAAAAATTCAAGATATTCCAGGAACCTAAGATCTTGAACGTCTTGAAATTTCTTGAGTTCTTGTACCAGGATCTTAATAATTCTTGAATTACCGTTTTGTTTCACATTTTTCCTTACATATAACTGCGAACCTTGTCATACGTAGAATAACTCGGAAATTTTTCCTTTCTTGAACACAACCAGCTGTTCAAGAATGAGCCTATGATAGGGTGGCCAGATGAAAAAATTCAAAATCAGAAAAAAAAATTGGAAAATCAGAAAATTTCGCTATCAAAATCAGAAAAAAATCAGAAAGTGGATTTAATGCGGCAACCAGACAAACATGTTTCGTTCAACATATAATTTATCAGTCCTTTTATTGAACTGTATTATCGTTTTATGTAGATAGATATCGTGTGGATAATATCGTATCAATAGTAATAATTCGGGCATTCATATGAGAACGAACTAGCACGTTTGAAACAGAAGAAATGAAAATCAGGAAAATCAGAAAAAATCAGAAACCAGAAAGCCATCAGAAAAAGTGTTCAAAATCAGAAAATTTCTGAAAAATCAGAAGATCTGGCCAGCCTGGCCTATGATCACATATGACTGTGTGTATAATGGTTATGGCTGTCATATAAGAAAATGTAAAGAAATTTTTATTTCAATACTTTGAAACAGTTTCACTTCTCGCTAAACAGACTTTTATCTTTCTCTGAGTGTGTGCCTGGACTTTCACATATTATTGTTTAGGTTTTTTTCGTATCAGATTCTGATTTCATTGTATCGATCGTGTTTTCTCTATCTGCCGATAATAATGGAGCATGTCTCTCTTTCGGTGGTAGGGGAAAAAGTTAAAATGTTTCTCTTTCAAATAAAAATAGCTTATACCAACAGTTTCACTCAAGTATTAGTGTTTATTTTTATAACACGAAGACCAGCTGCGCTCAACGTTTTTTCCAAAGAACAGCTGTCTTATGCTCACTGTGCAAACCTTAACTAATCTTGAATTTTGAAGAAATATAGCCTGCAGAACACTTTGTTTTCTAATTTTTTGTGGATGTGATATTAGCAAGTATACGAATACTTTTGATACTTGCTCCTCTCCTTCATGTTTCCATTTTCAAGAAAGTAATAATAAAATTTGTAATTGTAATCAAAATCCGTATGCAATTGATCTCTTCACGTTGGGAAAAATGTGTTTTGATCACCAAATATATTCATTGCGAAATGATCACCAAAAAATAAGAGTTTTGACTTTTGATCACCAAATCAATTAAAGAAAACATATACCTATTTAAAGAACGGAGGGGGGGGGCATTTAGATTTTTCTCCAATATTCCCAGTTTGTAGAGGATACAAGTATATATTCTGAAGTTTTCCCGGCTTACTGGCATTATTTGCCTGCAAAAGAAATTAATTACTTTAAAAAATATTGTTAAGTTTTTGAACAAGGGATTATTATTAAAAGAATTCATGTCCATTTTCCATTTATCATAAAAACTTGGTTCTTGTCTAGATCGATAGAGAAATGTGTGGAGAATACTTACTACGAGATAATATGTAAAAACTTTTAGTTCTTTCCTTCCTGTTAATGAATAAATCACTTTTAATCTAGCCTACTCTATTAGCTTACAGTCCCATTTTCAAAAAGGACTCAACAAAAGAATTTAAGCAATACCTCGCCTGATAGAGAATTTCACGGGCTACAAGAATGGCTAGCTTAAGAGTTTTAGAATCCAATTCATTCATTAGAATTCTTTTTTAACTACCTGTGCTAAAAAATTTAAACAACATTTTTTTAAGTAATTAATTTTTTTCTCAGCTAAACAATGTCAGTAAGCCGAAAAAACTTCAAAACATATACATCGAAGTGTCCTCTACAAACTGAGAAAATTTAACAAAAAAATTCAAAACTAAAAAAATTCGCTAATTTTTAGTTAAGTGAAAATATTTTCACAACACCTTGAATCAAATTTCGCTCGAAGGAAGCATTTTCAAGGAAAAGTGGGGATATGAAAGTTGTTCAGAATCAGATTCCCTGGAATATGAACGAAGGTTTTTTCAAAATTCATTAAACTGGGCTTTTAAATTAAATTTTACTAAATTTTAAAATTTTAAAAACCGTATTTTTCAATTTAAAAATCGAGTTTAATGAATTTTGAAAAATCCTTCGTTCATATTCCAGGGAATCTGATTCTGAACAACTTTCGTACCCACACTTTTCCTTAAAAATGCTTCCTTTGAGCGAAATTTGGTTCAAGATGTTTTTAAAAATACTTCTAGCTCCAAAATGTCACCGGGGAGGTCAAAGTGGAATAACTCAGTCAAAGTTTGACCGAATTTTTTGTAGATACATGTTGATGTCTTCTATCGATTGACATCAAAATTGAGGTTATATATAGAAATCTGAAAATTTTATTAAACATTTAAAAATGGAGCAGAAAACCGAGACTAAACTTAAAAAATTATTTTCTCGAAAACTACAGGTTCGGTACCCGAAAAAAGTATTGAAATATATAGTTCAAAGTGTCCTCTACAAACTGATAGGAAAAACCGAGTGGGGGGACCCTCCATTAATCCATTAATAGCAAATTCATTAGTTTTGTTTCAGACAGACAAGAAAACGAGTATAAAGTAAATATATATATCGAAGTAAGAAGTATTACTGACAACTTCATCGCCGGATAACGCGCAAGAATACGCAGAATTATAGTTTAATGTTTGCCAATATCATCGATCAGATTTCAAGTATGATAAAAAAGAAAACAATAAAATTTCAAAAACCATCAACTGTTGACATATTTCATATATCTTTCATATTTCTATTCATACTTCTTGTATATATTTTCTTTTATATTCTTTTTCTTATCAGTCCACTAATGAATTTGCAATAACACTGAAACTAAACTTGTTAATTTGCTATTGAATAGGTATATATTCTTCTATATATTTTCTTTAATTTAAATTTTCTTTAATTGATTTGGTGATCAAAAATCTTATTTTTTGGTGATCTAAACAATTGATACCCTTTACGTTTCATTTGCACAAAATTTAGAAAACAAATTTTCGTTGATAACTTTGTTAAGACTATGGGAAAATATGAAGGAGCACAGTGGGCATCCAGGCGGAAATTAGGTGAAAAATCGAAGTTGCTCCTAATTCAAATACAAATAGTGGAAAATGTAGCCCTTTCAAAGGGCTATCGAATGGTATATAAATGTCTATTTTGAAAATGGTTCCTACGACAAGAAATCACGGTACACAAAACCGATTACGGATATCGTTACTACATACGAAATAAAGATTCTTTGCTTACTCAATTGTGGTACGCGATTTCAAAGCCGATATTCAGAACCAGCACGTCTTCAGCTATCTATTGATAACAAAATATTTCTATTTCGGCACCGAATTCAATAAGTAAGAGCGACATGTTCTCCATCACGTCAGTCCGTAGTAACAGTACTCCAGTATAGTCGGGTCGCCCTCGTTAGCCCCACGCTAAAACGACATTCAAACACATCAAAATGTTCCTCAAACGCTACTCTATGTATTTTAAAATCGCAAAATCTCGCATCTTTTCCAAGGAGGTTTTATGGATTTTCCAAAATCCCAAGGGGTTTTCGCGTATTTCACATTTTTCTCTCTCACCAAAGCACTTTTTCGTACAAATAATACCATATTCGGAATCACCGTGAAAAATTGCATCGAATGATGTATAGCTTTTTAATTTTTTCTGCAGAAATATTTGCGATCAAATTGAATTATAGACTTGAAAGCTTGCCCGCAGCAAATTTTGCTTAGGAATTTGGATATTTATTTTAGCAATACAAGTCTATAAACACATTTTTTATAGGTTTTCGAATATGATCTTTCGAATAGTGAGGTTCTCGAAATGCAAAAATATTTTTTATGGATTTTCCAGAGATCCGGTCTCCAAAAAACCCACAAGGAATTACTTTTGAGTACTGTAAATCTCATCATTAGAAAGAGTATATTCGAAAACCTATAGAAGAACGTATTTATAGGCTTTCATACCACTCCTACAGTATATGTCCGCCTGCTCTATAGAAAAATGCCCACTGTGAGGAGAGAAGTATTAGAAATATTCGTATAGCTACTAATTAGATAGAATTAGATAGAGTCTTTACTTTTAATTATAGTTAAAAGCTACATTTTGGGTTAAAATTTGTCACTTGGGTTACCAATGGTAAGTAAAAAGAATGTGTTGTAAGGAAAAGAAAAGAATAGAATGTGTAAATACGATGTCTATCATCTTCAATAGACTATACTACTGATTTATTTTTCTTTGATTAACTTTTGCAACGACGAAGATACGACCGACACAGATCAACTGATTTCAGCAATTATAACATAAAGAAAGACTTTATTTTATTTTGTTCCTTTTTATCTAGTTTGTGAGATTTATATTCCTGTTGCAAATCTAATCGAGACTTTATTTTTGCATACTGTTTTTGTTAACTTTACTTTTGTTCATGTGGCTTATTATATTCTTGTTAAAAAAGTCTTCATCATTAAGAAACAGTGCTCAGCTAATGTAAAACGAAGGTAAGACATTTTAGCTCTAGTTATCACTTTTAAACCGATTTATAACTATGTTCATTTTTATCTTTTAATACTTTTAAACTCTACAGTGGAAAGATTACGAAATCAATCATTTGTGTGCAGTTGAACCGTTTAATCTCTAATTTTATTATAATAGAAAAAGAAACAGTTAATAATTTATCTAGTCACGATAAATAATAATAGCAAAAGCGTTAGAAAATTTTTACAAGATTTATCAATATAACACGTAGAGATGTAATAGAACAATAAAATACAAAAAAAAAGCAACGTTACTTTAATATTCATCCTTCTAATTCAGCAGCTTGATCTTTTAAATCTTCGATTTGTTGTTTTAACAATATCTAAAATAAAAATAATTGAGAAAATTAAAAAATATATTACATTAAATTGAAAAGTCGTGTATACCGCTGCGTTTTTTATAATAGTTAATGCAACTTTATGTGGTAAATGTGGTATGTCTTTCATTAATTCATTTACATTAGCACGTGCTAAACTTTTCAATGTTTTATAGCCAGCTCTAGCAAGTTGAAGAGCACGACCCTTTAAAAAAATAGATAAAAATAATGGTCAATAATTTAAGATAAAATGTTCTTTTTTTTTTACCTGTTTTATGCCATGTATTTCCATTAATGGTAATATTTCTAATGATGTACAAAATGTTAAACGTCGAATAAATGTTGGTAGCAAATCTTGATATGGCCATAAGTTGTCAAATACCTTTAACGAATATAATTTTATTTTTATTCATACAAACACTTCAGATATTCTACTAGTTATAAATACTTATTTATTTTATCCTGTTTACCTTTGTAAAATAAAGAATACTTGTTGCACACTGTCCAGCTTGTGAGTACAAATATTGTATAGTACCACGCGGTATCTGCCAATATCTTGCTACATCGTAAATTGAATTATTTTTCCATAAATCATAAAGTATTAACGTTACATAAAATCGAGTTAACGTTCTAGTATCGACCGTCTGAACCAAGAGAAAAATAATGTCGTTTTCTTTTTTTTATCATCAGGTCGTAGAAGATACATTTAATTTACCTGTTTTACTACATACTGGCTCGCTTTTTTACCTAAAAATTCTTCGGTAATACCTAAATATCCTAATACGAGTTTTTCATCATCATTGAGAAATTGTGCCTAGAAATAAGAAATACTTCAATTAATTAAGTATCAAATAGAAACTTTAAACTAATCAATCAAATATTAAGTAAAAAACACAAGCATCAAACATTTTCGGGTATTAATACTGGTATCATTTATTTTTTCTTCAAAATGTCTATTGAATAATGAGAATAGTTATATTAAGGGTTCATCTAACAGTATTTGAATGAATTCCAAACGTTTATTTTGTACAGAAAACAAGTAGAACTCACAGAGGCAATTAATTTATGTGAGAGTAGTCAATAGTTGGACGTTTCGTTGATTCTTATACTTCATAAGTTAAAAACTATAAATTTTTCTTCTTTTTTTTATGTTATTTTAGTAGTGGAATCGGCTATATTATTCCTCGCTTACCGAAAGTTTACAAGTGCGTATGAAACAAATGTCGACATTTCCTGTATCTCTGACGACTGAAATCTATCCTATAATGTAGAATGAGATGAAAAAAAAAATATATCACCATGGTTCGACATTATAAAATAGTAATCACTAAGTCATAGTACTCGATTAAAGACAATTCTTTAACGTTAAACTTGACGAGCTCATCAAATTATTGTCAATTTTGGAAAAGAGTATGAACTAAAAAATATAGACAGATGAATGTTAAAGACTAAAACTTTTATAGTATTCTCTCTAATTATTACAAAATACATAAGGATTTATTCTCATTTTACACGCATCCAAATCCTTAAAAAATTTATAAAAAATTTTTAGAATATAAATGCAAAAATAACAAAAAAAAAATGGAAATTTTTACGTCAGAAGTCCTACTATTTAAATATTCTGACATTTAAAGCGGAATCAGTTTCCGATTAAATTGTGTTCTTAGTAGCGGTAGAATATAACGAACTATCAAAGAGAATGAAATTTTACATTTAATGTTTTCATATTTGCTTTAAATATATATACCAGAAATGTTTACTTTTCCATTATCATTATTGGTATACTATATTCCATTATTGGTACACTATGTTTATACAAATCAAACGGTGAGAAGACGATGGTTATTCTTAAAATTTGCTTAACTTTATACGTGACAGAAAGACGTAGTATAGATTTTCTTGACAATATTCACTAATCTTGTTTTCGAGATTAGTATATTATAAAAATTATTTTATATAACGTCTTATTTATGTTATATTAAAATATAATTTCAATTATATAAAAGAACAAAAAATCATATTCATTTTCTGCTTCTTTGTGTATGTGTGTGTGTTTGTGTTTTCTCTTTAAAAAAAACAAAGTTAAAAGTACAATATCTTTTTCTTTAAATGTGCAATTACCAAACATGCAAACTCTTAATTTTTTCTTTTTCATCTCAACAGAGACTCAAAGTTGTTCGCAATTCTGAACATGTAGTGGAAATAGTATCTAAAAAAACGGAAAGAATTTTTCAAGTTCTCGACAAAGAAATCAAATCACATCACACACATCTATAACATCACTAGAATCATGTAAACAATACATTAAGGGTAAGACTTTCTACTCTATCAATTTTATCTTTAATTTGTAGCTCTTTTATTTTTATTCAAGCTTAAGTCAGAAATAAAGTAAATGGATAAAATTGAATGATTCTTCCTAACTAAAACTCTTGTTGTTTTCATCTTCTAAGCGCAAAAATAAGACAAGTCTCTTAAGTGCTTATCGTTCATTTTCTAGCTTGTTGAAATAGTTATATTACTCTCACAGTGCAAATGCGGAAAAGTGATCGCTATGAAAACAAGTAAATCGAAAATACATTATTTTTAGCTTGCAATACGTTTTTCTCAATATTAAATTGTTTAATAAAAATCAAGAGATCTAACAGATGTACCATAATGAATGATGCTCTTCGTATTTTCTATTTTATTCTTCTTCCTTTACGTCCCTAGAAATTAATGGTTGTTTTTAAAAGATGCGCCGTAAAATTCTCTATTTGAACATGTAAGAAGTTTTGATTTATGACGAAAAATTTTGAAAGACGCCCAAGAGACCAACTTTATAAACTTGTCTTTCATTAAATAAAAAATTTTTTCTCATAGTCTAACATTAGTTAGAAAGTCCTAAAGATTTTTTTCTGTGACATCGAATGTGCTCTTTCTCATGGACCGTAAGAGAATTTTTCGATTACAGATTTTTAAATTACATAGTTGATCGCTTTGGTGTCCTTTAAAGTTTTAAATCTACGCTTTTTTGTATTGATTATGAACCAATACTTCTTACATGCTCTAATAGAGAGTTTCAAGGCGCATCTTTTAAAAAAACCAGTAATCCTAGGAAGTTAATGGAAAAAGAATAAAATAGAAAATACAGAGGCCATCATTCGTTATAGTAAGCCTATTATTTTACAACATCAGAGAAAAAGATAGTTTTTAATACTCGATATTCAAAAATTTGACAATAATCAAAATGTCAATATGCGCATGAACTTCATTTCTAATCATCTTTTAATCATGCATGAAGTCAATCCCGGTTAAAGACGCAGTCATACTAAAAATTAGCTATCATGATTAGTTAATTTTGATTGGTTCAATTAATGCGTTAGAGCCATTCTTGTTTCGTTGACACTATGCTTACAATCAATTAAACTTAGCAGTTATACTTGTAATTATTATTGTTATTATTAGTTGGTATAATAGAACAATAAAAATAGACATCAACAATGTCGTAGTAAATCTATACGACACCAAAAACTAAACCTTTTAATTATATATACAACAATTTATACAGTACAATACAAAAAAAGAACAAAACTTTTTAAAACTTATTGTTTTAGAGGTGACCTCTCGAATGAGAACAATTTTCTTAATAATTTTTCAAGTGAGAACATTTATAAACCGTGCACTCTTGAAGGAGAACATTTTTGTCATAGATATTCTCAAATGAGAACAGTTGTAAATTGGAAGATAATAGATTAAAGCATAAGCTAATTAAGAAGCTTCTTAAAGCTCTGAACCAGAGAAAGAATAATGCCGAAGAGACTGTTTAGATCACCATAAGGCAGTTCAGAAGATTAAAGAATACCAAGACGATCAACATAGTGAATGTTCAACCTTATAAAAGTGATGAACTTGCAAAGCATTACCGAGTAGCAAAAAATGTCATTACCATTTGCTACTGAAGATACTAGTAAAGATGGTCATAAGTCGTTATTGTATAAAACGTATCGTTATCGTCTTCGTACGCGTAAAATTGATGGCACTGAAACGTGGCATTGTACTGAGTAAGTTGTCTGGTTTCGTATTGTTTCTCTTCTGTTGTTGCAAATGAAATAATCCATCCTAAGTACCAATATATGCGTGGATGTATAGATTTTCAAGAGTATTTTAATGTTGCTAGAAAACCATGTTATAGAATCTTTCACAGTTTCTCAGATGGTCTTTTAAACAACGAAGTTTCAGATACGAAAGCTTGAATATGTATTTTATTTATATTCTTTACCATCACAAAATCATTGTGTGTTAGTATCTATTATAGTGGCTATTTGTTCTTCTTCGAGAGTGTAGTGTTTGAAAATGTTCTCGTTTAAGAATACGTTTATAAATTGTTCTCATTCGAGAGTGCAGCAGCTGAATATGTTCTCCTTTGAGATAGATTATAAAATATTGTTCTCCTTCAAGAATGCACAGTTTTAAATTGTTCGAGATGGCATCGTTTTAGATACTTTACACAAAAAGTCGTTTAAATTTAAACTATTTTGTCTATATCTATTTTCTAAATTACGTAAACGATTATTTTGATTAACATATACTATGTCTTACGTGACGGTAAACTGTTTTCATTTTTATAATTTTTTCTCAAGGCTATATTATATACATAAGCATTTTGGATTATTATTTGTTTAACTATTGGAAAAAGCATAAAAATTTCATAATAAATATAACTATAATTGCAACCATAATTCCATATCTTACAAGAGGTCTACAAAGCTGTCAATGACACAAAAATCAAGTTTAATTGATTCTAAATATAGTGCCGACAAATTAAGATAAAAAAATACTGACGAATCAAGAAAGAAATTAGTGTCGACGAAACAAGAATATCCTACGTTTAATCCTATAATGTGATCATAATGTCGTTTCTTAATATGACGATGAGACATTTGTAATAAGAAACCCAGCATTATTTGTTCAAAAGTTGATTCATCGAACATTTATGACTAGTTCTCTTAAAACTAATTACACTTCTATATGCGACAATTCGAACAGTTGTTATTCGATACTAGCAGACGCTTAAGTAATAACTGAAACCAGAAAAAAGTTTATTATGTAGTATTATTCCACTATAATAAATTTTAAACTCTCAAAACGTCTGTACTTCGGTTTCAATTAGTCATAATATAAGTTCTAATTAAAATTAAAACTTATTTAAAATATAGTTTTCTATAGGAGAGTCATAATTCAAGCCCAAAAAATTAAATTATTCACACATGACATAGAAATTGGTCATTGTGCCATTCATTCATGTGAGAAATTTGATAACGGTTTTTTCATCGAATATCGAATTTCTATGGAGGAGAAGGAAGGTCTTCTTGACCAAAATCGATAATGATATTTTGCATATTTCTAGTTGAAAAACAAATGCCGATAAAATTTCCTTCAGGATATATAAGATTGACTTTTGAGTTAAACATAATGTAGTGCATGATCTACGGCCTATCCCTGAGGGAAAATGAATTCTTTAATGTTTGACATTTTATACTAAAAACTCTAATTTTAAACATATCAAATTGTTTTATTTTCTTTCCTATAAAATAGAATGAGATGTATCCAACTCCGCGATGTTTCCTTCAAAAATTATCAGTATTTTGCAAGAGATCCTAAAAAAGTGACTTTCGTGTTCTGACGTTCCTGGTCTGTATCTCGACTCGGTTGGATTGTATACCTTATCGGTCTCGAAACATTATACATTCCAGCTCAAATTTTTACCACAGATACCAGACATCCAGACGCTCAGGTTTTTTTTCAGTTTGGCTCTTCAGGACGTTTTCGTCATAGGAAGTGAGGCTGCTTTCTGGAAGCCTCAAAACCAAAGCCTTGTTCGCAACATTTTTTGTGAAAATTTACTAAAATTTTTCAATAGTTGTAAACGCTATGAGTGTATTTAAGAACATTGAATCTTAAGCTATTTGTGACGTTTACAACTACTGAAAAATATTGACGTTAACATTTTATTGTGGGTAAAAGTAATATGACTGAATCACGATTTTAATGTCTACTTTTGTATGGTAGAAACTACTGATTTACTTTTCAAAAAAAAAGTTTTCTCCTCAGACCCCTCCTCTTTTGCATTCTTTCTTTCTATATCATTGACCGAAATTTTGTTTTTCGCAACATTTTTTTTATAAAATTCTCGATGTTACACTTCGGAGAACTAAATCCAAAAACATATGAGCGTCTGAATGTTTGGTATTTATGTGGTAAACATTTGAGCTCGAATACACAATGTTTCGATGGTCGATCGGTCCCAGTACACTCTAAAAAATAGTCGTAGATTAATAAACTACAATAAAAGAGTTTTTTAGTCCA